GGCAAGAGCACTGAGATATTTTACAGGGTGCCAAACAATGTAAGAATCATGGAATTAAAATGGAGATGCATTTTATATTTAGCATCTATTTCTTTTTTAGGATATTTTTAAATGTACCAAGTATTTTCACTTGAATTATAATTTCATCCACGTACAGCACTTTTTTGCACTTTCCCATCCTTCTGGACTGTTCACTGTTTTTTCAGGAGACCAAGTTTATTCACCTCTCTCACTCGCCTTTCAATATCCCTTTTTAACCCAATTCTCGCCATCTTCACAAAGAATGTGAATATGTCCTGCTGACAGCAAGCCCGTCTCCTCACTTCTTCAGCTTTCTCCCCCTTTTTAAAACAGAAGCATCACATATAATTTCATGCTCCTTTTCACCATCTGCCCTACATCACTTCATAACCAAGTTCACAATTTCACTTACATCTGCTCAGCTTTCCCTAAAGTGATCTTTCAAACTCTCATAACTGCATGACCTGTTTGATCTTAGCCTTTATTCTCTGTCATTCTCATTATCTGCCCCTGGGTCCTCTGAGACCGCTAAATGCTCACTTTTCAGACAATAATCTCATGTATGAAATGAGGATAATACCTCATTTCATTAACAAGTTGTGGGGAAGATTAAATCCGATAATGCCTGTGGCCATGCCAGACACGAGTCTTGCACCAGAAAAGATCCTCAGCACATGCAGGTGAAAGCAGAGCCCCTACTGCTCTGCCAGGGTGGCTGGTAGTGTTTGCTCATGTCTGCTCTTTCCTCCAGCCAGTCTCTCCACTCTCCTGGGCTTCCACAACATGAGCAACGTGAGCCAGCCCTTCTGTCTCAGTCACTACAGAGCATACTCAACTGCCATGCATCCTTGAGCAAGAGACCACACCAGATCAATCAGAAAATGGAAGGATAGTTTGACTCCAGATTCTGCCAGCAATGTGATTAGCATTCAACAGTCCTGACCTTCAAGCCCAGGGCCCAGAAGTAATAGACTCCATGGCTCTTGGGTCCACGTACTCTTATTGCTCACTTACTACCATCATTTCTTTCCATTTCCTATATTTGCCTATAGGTAATGGCACTCTGGTGTGATCTTACATCTATTTTAGGTTTGGCTGCTGTAGTCATGAGAATGTGCCTTGTAGACCTTCTTTATACACCGTACTTAATAGGCTGAAAGGCCCAGCTGCTATGCTTCAAAATCTATGTCTGTGTTTGCTCTGAGGCCCCACCTCCCATAGGCTGCTCCCGACCAATAGCCAAGTGCAGTGGGGATGCTGACCCATTCCTGAGCACCTGGGACTCTTTGTTGGCTGACATTAGCTCAGTGTCTCCAAAGCTGCTTTGATGAATCTTCCTTAGACTGCAAGGAACAAGTCTTCTCTCCTTCTCAGATCTGCCCTCAACAATCATCTTCTGCTTCCTCACTACTCTGCTCACATTCCAACAGTACTTCTCTTCTTTCTTTTTATTCCTATGCTCCTTTGGTAGGTCATTTTGAATTTGGTAAAAGTGAAACTCATTTGAATCATGAGTGCAGAAGACCAGGCCATGAGGGTGAGTACCAACTACTTACCTCACAGGGCCAATCCCTAGGGCTGGGCACAGGTCCAGGCAACACAGACCACCATGTTAGGTGTAATTGTTCTTTTTTCTTGTTATATTATCTGTTTTGAAGTGGGTGATAATATTTTTCTCCAGGTCATGATATTATCTGCCAGTGACAGTTGTGTTTCTTCCTTTCTAATATTTGTTTTCTCAGTCTCTCACTTCTATTTCCATGTCTATTTATTTGTCTTTTCTGACCTGAAGATCATCAACTGAGAAAATTTACTCAGGATTAAAAAAGGCACAGAGAAGTATCCTTAAGTCAACACCACCATTTCCTTAGATATTACTCACTAGAAAGAGTTAAAGAAGAAAAGGAGGTAGAACCAATGTCCTTTTGTGAAAGACCTTCATGTATACTTTTTCCTCAAAGGTTTCTATGGAACTGCAAGGAGGAAACACGTTAATAGTATCTTCGGACTCCACTGGAGACCTAGAAATAGAACCTCAGTTAATACTTACTTTGAGGAGGGGCACAATGGAATAAGCTCCATCAATCTGGGCATCTTTGTCTATTTGCATTCAGACTAGAACCTGACAAGTCAAAGCCAGGTCAAGACAAGACTAATAAGCACAGTTATCACAGGGCACCAACCACCTGACAGCACCATGTAGATAATTCTAGATAGCTCCCAGGGATTTTCCTCTTCTCTTTGATCCATTTTCTGTCTGCTCCATTTGCCCTCCTACCACAGGAGAAATTCACCTTTGACCCTTTAGAAATAGTCCTTTGTGAAGAAAGCCAATTAAATACTTTCCTTGCTTTTCACTGACTTTGTTTTTTATTGTTGGTTTCTAAAAATTCTCTATATGTTCAATATTTGAGTCATTTTTCACATAAGTATATTGCAAATATCTTCTCACAGTCTGTGGCTGGCCTTTCACTCTCTAAGGTGATTTTTCATGAGCAGAAGTTTTCCTATTCAATGAAATCCAACTTATCTTTTCACCTGCTGGGCCTTGGTGGGTATCACACTCATTATATAGGCAAAATCAAGTAATTGAACCTTTAAAAGGAGAGTAAATCCAAAGCAGGAGCCAGTAAGATATTCCAACGATGGAGAAGATGTTAGAAACGTGGTCCTAGGGTCCAGGGAGGGATAAGTTTATGAGTAAAATCCAGATGGAGTTGACAGGAAGCTGTGAGGATGGCCTTTGGACTTTCCACAAGCATAAAGGGCAGATACACCCATGGGATTCGGTGTCTATGGCAACCAACAATACCATTGTCCACCACTCGGACATTCTCAATAGCACGCTTTGTCTCTAGGGAACCAAAATGCATCCTCAAGAGAGCTAAGTTAAGTAAGCTTCCAAGCCATGGCCCAGAACTGGTCTGTGCAGAACTGAGAGCATACTGGGATAAGGGACAAGGAAGGCAGAGCCTTCCAGGATCTTTACACCACACATCATGAATTGTGTTTATTAAGGTCAGTTATCTAAGAAGGAGCTCTCATGGTGTAGTGCCTAAGGCATTTGACTGATAACCAAAACACTAGAGGCTCAAACCCACGAACCACTCTTTGGAAGGAAGATTTGGCAATTTACTTCTGCAGTGATACCTCAGTATGAGTTGGATCCGACTCGATGGCAGTGAGTTTTGTTTTTGATTTATGGATGGAGGCTTACAGTTTTTTGCAGATTTTTTGTGATAGAGGGTATGCATACAAGTGTTAATATAAAATTATATACATTTTTTAATGGATGTGAATACAGAATATTGACTCTACAGTCCCAGATGGAGATCTTGATTTATTTTCTTTGCTTATGTCATGCAAATCATGTTGTTGTTGTGTGCTGTCGAGTCGGCCTGACTCATAGCAACCCCTCCTTGGAAGTAGGATTGCCCAACCTTCCTTCCGAGGAGTGGCTGGTGGGTTTGAACCACCAGCCTTCTGGTTAGCAGTCAAGTGCTTTAGCCACTATGCTACCAGAGCTCCTACTAATCTCTAACTGTGCTGGTGGTGGAGAGAAGCCAAGTAGGACCCATGGGAAATATACCTTCAAAGACATTCTCTCTTCTTCAGCGTCAGCCTGTAGGGAAGGTTCTGGTGATAGAAGAGAACTTTTAGAACTATAAGGAACAAAGCTTCCATGGGGGGTGAGGGGGCAAAGCCACTGACATGTAATTGATTACACCTCATGTCCACCCCACAGAACAGGTAGGGTTTCCCAGCCTGTAAATCTTTACAGGAAGCCTCATCTTTCTCATGGAGCGGGTTCAAACTCTCAGCCTTCCTATTTGTAGCCCAGTGTTTCAAACACAACCCACAAGAGCTCCCAAAACACTCTGTTAAGGGTTCCTTAGCTCTGTGTCATGCCTCTGTAGAGCCAGATGACAACTGTGTTGGTCTGTCAACTGATTTAGGACAGAGAAATGAAGACTGGTTTACTGTGTTGAATAATGAGACTTCTTCTCTCATGTCTATTCATTCATTCATTCATTTGAAGACTCTCAGCAAACAATTTACTTGAAATAAAAACAAGCTGTTCCTGCCTGGTTTTGAACCAGGGACCTTTCACATGTGAAGTGAATGTGATAACCACTGCACTACAGAAACCATATATTCTTCTTATTTTAAGAAATTATTCATGAAAATCGGAAGACATGCCCTATCCATTCTTTTGGCTTCCACCCTATGAAATTAAAATACATTTGAAATTCCACTGCCAGCAGCAAAGTGCGAGAGAAAGCCCTGGAGAAAACCACCACCAATCCCTTCAGGCAAAAGAGACTGCTTCTTCTATTAGGCCCCAACTTACTTTTCCATCCCTAACCCAGAAGCGAGGACCTCAGGGACCCACAGCAAGCCTTTGGGACCCTACAGTTCACTAGGGTTCCATTTTCAGAACTAAGCTCCCCTGGGCTCTTGAGTACCCCATAGCCCAGTAACTGTAGATGCTGCCACTCTGGGCTTTGGACAAATAATCTTGACAAATAATCATTATTCATCCCCCACTTGTTAGTTGTCGTGGAGTCGATTAGGACTCAAGGTGACCCCACATGTGCAGTGTTCAGCTGCTCCATAGGGTTTCCAAGGCTGTGACCTTTCAGAAGCAGATTGCCAGGCCTATCTTCTGGGGGGCCTCTGTGTGAGTGCATAACCATCTGCCTGTAAAATGGAAAACAAGTGTTGAGAATGTGGAAAATTGGAACCCTCATCCATTGCTGGTGGGATTGTAAAATGGTACAGCCTCTGTGGAAATCCCTTGAGTGGTTCCTCAAAAGGTTAAACATAGTCATCTGACTATGTTTGTTGAGTCATATGACTCAACAATTCCACTATGAGATACTCACTCCTAAAAATTGAAAGCAGGAGTGCAAACAGGTATTTGTACATCAATATTCGCAGCAGCATTATTCTCAATAGACGAAAGGTATAAATGATCCAGCTACCTATCAACAGATGAATGGATAAAAAAAAAATGTGGCATATATTCATACACTTTTTTTTGTATATTCATATAGGGAGCTCTGGTGGCATAGTGCCCAAGGCATTTGACTGCTTCCCAGAAGGCTGGCGGTTCAAACCCACCAGCCACGCCTCAAAAGGAAGATTGGGCAATCTACTTCCAGAGAGATACTGCCTCAGAAACCCAAGGATGGGCCGTTAAGAGTTGAAGACTCCACAGCAGTGAGTTTGGTTTTTTGGTTTTTTATATTCATACAATGGAATTTTATTCAGCCATAAATAAAGGAAGTCCTTATACATGCTAGGAAGCTCTGGTAGCATAGTGCCTAAGGCACTTGACTGCTAACCAGAAGGCTGGTGGTTCAAACCCATCAGCCACTCCTCGGAAGGAAGGTTGGGCAATCTACTTCTGTAGTGATACTGCCTCGGAAACCCGAGGAGGGGTCGCTATGAGTTGGGTCCAACTTGACGGCACATGACAGCAACAACAAGGGCAGGTGGAAGGGGAAAAGTAGGAGTTATTGCTAGAGGGGCACTGAATTTCTGTTACCTGCCCCCCCCCCAAATGAAAACCAAACCCACTGCCATTGAGTAGATTCATGTCACTAATAGTGATCACCACTGGGTTTCCAAGGTAGTAAATCTTTATGCTTCCTTCAGTGAAGCAGCTGGTGAGTTTGAACGGCCAACATGATTAGCAGTCAAATGCCTTAGGCACTGTACCACAGAGCTCCTCGAATTTCTGTTAAGGATGATAAAAAAAAATTTGGAAACTGATGGTGGTGATTGGTTCCACAACACTGTAAATCTAATTAGCATCATTGAGTTGTGCATATAAATTGGTTGAAATGGTAAGTGTTTCATTATATATTTTATCACACACTGAAAATGATTCGTATTTCCAGTCCACCCAGGAACAGAACCCTCCTCCCCATCACCTCTGCTTTGGGTCTAACCTACATTCTTTTTTCTCAAATCCTATGGTCTCAGCCCCTTTTAACTCTCCACACTCTGGCTCTTGTGTTGTCTCTTGTTCTATGGGACTCAATTTAAGTTAAATACTTTAATCACACCTTCATGTTTTGACTGTACCTTAGCAAAGCCTGAAACATGTCTCTTAGGACATTTGTCTGTTTGAAAATATCAAAAAAGCAACACAGGTCAAGTGAGCCTTGGTGGCTTGCATTGGATTCCTTTGAACATCAGGCGACTTGAGACCCAGTATAAACTGCAGGACCCAGGGGCAGCTCACGCATATATATCCAGATTGCTTGATTTCTCCCTTTGTAATCCTGAGATAATTTTTGAAGGGCAGTTTTATTCCAATACCTGAAAATCCACCAATCGTGACCCTGATCAGAACAGATAGAGGACATTTGCTCTAATATCGTTCATGGTATTATTCGCTCAACCAATATACAAGTTGGCAAAATCAAATTTCTCCAAAGGCCTCTCTAAAGATCCAGATACTGAAACAGGCCTTTTCCTTTGTTATAAATACATTACACCAATACCTAACTTGGGTATTTCTAAATATGTCAAATTTTTCTCACTCTTTTTTCATAAAAGAGTTTTAAGGGTACTTATCCATATGTTCTATGACTTGGAAATGACTCAATGGCAGTAGGTTTGACTCATATTTAAAACTCCTTACTTTCATATTTATCTCAATTTGTAAGTAAAACAAACTATCAATGTTTTTATCTTTATTTTTATTGTGATTTGAGTGAAAGATTTCAGAGCAAATTCATCTTCCATATAGCAGTTCACATACACTTTGTCTCATGACATTGACTGCAATCTCCCACAATGCAACAGCTCTCCTCCCACTTCCTCCTCATAGCCACCTCTTCTTCTCTGTGCCCTTCCCTCCCATGCACTCCTGCGCGCCCCCCAGCTGTCTCCCTGTGCATACCAGCCCTTCTATTCTCCCATGATTGATCTCTCCAAGAAGTGTATCTACCTAGCTCATATGCCTGTCTTTTGTTTGGCTGGAAGCCACAGGAGTGGGTTCAATTCCAGACCTGAAGGGCAGCTAGGGGCCATAGTCTCAGAGGTTTCACCAGGCTCTATCAGACCAGCAAACTTGGTCCTTTTTTTTTTTTTTTCAATGATTTTGAGTTTTGTTCCACATTGTAGTCCCACTCTACCCAGGATCTCTTACATAGATCCCTCTCCAAGTGGTTGACAGTGGTAGCCGAGCATCATCTAATTCTTCTGGTTTCATTGTCATATAGGCTGAGGATAGCATGGTATACCAGCCCTCTCGACTAATTCTTTCCATGTGTCTTTGGTTTTCTTCATTCTTCTTTGCTCTGGTTGAGGAGAGACCCATTGTTGCACCTAGATGGCTGCTTGAAAGCTTTTAAGTTCCCAGTCACTACTTGCCAAAGTAGGATGTGGAACAATGTTTTTGTGTAGTATGTTATGCCAATTGAGCTTGACGTCCCATGACCATGACCCTGAGCCCACAGGTCCAACTACTCGCTCCCTCTAGGGAGCTGGCTGTGGCCAAGAAGTGACTACAAACTTGCCCCTTGTTAGCTCTACTATATGCTTGGGAATTCTTACAGAACATACAGATACCCTTGTAGAAACATTGTCTGCCAACCCTATACATGGTCTTGGACACATTCCCCCCTTCATGTTGTTGTTATGTGCCATCGAGTCAGACCTGACTCACAGTGACCACTCCTTGGGTTCTGAGGCAGTATCACTACGGATAGTAGAGTGCCCCATCTTCCTTCCAAGGAGTGGCTGGTGGGTTTGAACCGCCAGCCTTCTGGTTAGCAGTCAAGTGCCTTAGGCACATATCCATTATGTCACCAGAGCCCCGGCACCAAATGCTGCTGTGTTGTTGTGTGCTGGGCGCTAGGAAGCTGGATATCTATTTTCCCTGATGCCCTCTCCTCCAGCGATCACCTCCGAAGCCCATTTACTCCCTGCCTCCTTCAAAGGGGGAGCTCTGGTGGTGTAGTGCCTAAGGCATTTGACTACTACCAGAAGGCTAGCAGTTCAAACCCACCAGCCACTCCTCGGAAGGAAGATTGGGAAATCTACTAACATAGTGATACCCCGTCGAAAACCCAAGGAGAGGTCGGTCCAACTCCACAGCAGTGCGTTTGGTTTTTGGGTTTTTCTTCAAAAGACCAGCTAGCCTGCTACACACAAAGCGCTGTCAGGCCATTGAGCGCCCATGGAAACCTCCAGGCGCACAAGTCTTATGGAGAGTTGGCTTTTCCCGACCACACCAAGACCTCTGGTGGCTTCGTGCCTAGGGACTCCACTACTAACCAGAAGGCTGGCGGCCATCACTCGGAAGGAAGATTGGCAACCTACTTCCATAGAGATACTGCCTCGAAAACCCAAGGAGAGGTCGCTATGAGTCTGGATCTACTCCACTGCAGTGATTTTTTTTTTTTTTTTTTTTTTACCACAGACCTGATTTAACAATGCGCGATTGCGAGGTTACAGCTTGTGGAGAGAAGATGGCCCAATCCAGGACAGCGAACCAGCTTGCAGGGAGGAGGCGCCCAGGGTGAGAAGGGGGCGGAGCAGTAGTCTCTGAGATCTCCAGCATTCAAAAGGATAGAAAACCGTTGAATCAAGGTCCCGGGACCACGAATCACATTTCTGACCTTTCCCGAAACTGCACGTGCACTTTTCCGATCTTAGTTGATGACAACTCCATCCTTGCATATGTTCAGGAAAAAGACCCCACAGCTAATTGTTTAGAATTCGATTCTTCTTCTTCGCCAAACGTGCACGTTTGGTACAAATGAGCCCTCCCTTTTCTAAGGTCTGAATTTGGACAAATGACTCTCCTGAGAAAGGCGGGAATTTCACGCGCCATCTTCGGCTTGCTCAGACCTTAGGATATGACGAGACCCCTAACCTCTGGGGTTGCGACTGGACTGCCTTTGCCGCTACTTGTCGATTCTGCCCCTCAGAAGCAGCCTGTTCCTGGCCTTCTTGGGGAGTCGAAACGTGCCTGACACGCCTCTGCTCCACTGTTCTCTCCCACTCCCTTCAGGTTCCGCCTGCAGAGAAGCTTCTGGAGGCACTTTTTTAGAGATCTCCAGTAAAGCAAGGTGCCTAAGTGCGGAGCGCCTGGCACGCACCGCAAGTTTATAGTTCTCCAGGAACCC